AGTGGATCAACGAGGTCTTCGGTCCTGCAGTGAAGAAATACCTTTTAGAAAAGAATCTGCCACTCAAAGCATTGCTGATTATGGATAATGCTCCTGCTCATCCTCCAGGCCTTGAGGATGACTTACTGGAAGAATTCGAGTTCATTAGGGTTAAGTTCCTTCCGCCCAACACCACTCCAATCCTCCAGCCAATGGATCAGCAAGTCATTTCCAACTTTAAAAAGCTTTACACCAAAGCACTATTTCAGCGATGCTTTGAGGTGACCGAAGGAACAAACCTTACCCTTCGAGAGTTTTGGAAAAATCATTTTCATATCGTGAACTGCCTCAAGATCATCGATAAAGCCTGGGATGGGGTCACCAAGAGAACCCTGAATTCTGCTTGGAGAAAGCTGTGGCCTGATTGCGTTTTTGGACATGGATTAGAGGGGCCTGCTTATGAACAGGAGTCGCCAGTTGTTGATGAAATTGTGTCCTTGGGGAAGACCATGGGACTGGAGGTGAATGAGGACGACATTCAAGAGCTGGTGGAGGAACATGGCCAGGAGCTGACCACTGACGAACTGATGCATCTGCATTGCGAGCAACAGCAGGAGGTTATGGAGGAGATCTCATCTGCAGAGGAGGATGAGAATAAGGCGCAGGAATCCCTCACTTCAAATAAGATTAGGGAGATGTGTAAAATGTGGGAAACAGTGCAAAATTTTGTAGAAAAGCACCACCCGAATAAGGCTGTAGCAGTGCGAGCGATGAATCTGTTTAACGACAATGCAATGTCACATTTCCGCGAAATCCTCAAAAGGAGGCAAAAGCAAGTGTCATTGGATAGATTCCTTGTTAAGGTTTCACGAAATGAAAAAGATTCCATTGAGCCAAGAGATAGCAGTGATTCCTTGAGTGATAGTGAAAGTCGCCCTACACAATAATTCTCCTCTCTCTCGTCTCCCTCACACCAACCACAAAGGTACAGTACCTGTAATTGTTTATTTTTCTTTATATTTTGTACAGTATTATATTACAGTACAGTATTGTAATTATTTTATATGAATATTTTTGGGTTGTGGAACGAATCATCTGAGTTTCCATTATTTCCTATGGGGAAATTTGCTTTGATATACAAGCGCTTTGGATTACAAGCATGCTTCCGGAACGAATTATGCTCTTAAACCAAGGTATCACTGTATATTGTATTGCTTCTTGAATGTGTAATACAATTTTCATCCTGAAGGTGTCAGTGTTGCTATTGTTAGTTTTGTAAATCGTTCAGAAAAGTTTTTTTATACTATTAGTCTTCAGTGAGAATCAGAAATAATCTAATTCAGCATTGGTATTATAATAGTGCTGCCCATCTCTTAAAACAAGCATTTTGTAGGGTTACAGTTTTTTGCATCATGTGGAAATGTATACAAAACATGTCTAGTTTTCTTTGTCTTGCAGTACAAGAAGCTATTTACCTCTGAAAGTGGGAAGTTGGGTACCCCCCAGAGATTTATAGCTGGGTCTTTGGCTGGAGCAACAGCACAGACTTGTATATATCCTATGGAGGTATTTACATTTTTCTTTTTATCTAATCTAATTGAAATCATAAATGGGTCAGCCTACTCAACAGTGATAGTTCTTTTAGTTAGATACCTGTCAGTTTACTTATATGTGCCTTTTAAAACATATGCAGTGAGATCTCTTTGTTTTGGTCCAGCATTGGGATACCCCCTCGCTGTTGCACCGGTGTAGGATTTAAAATGTATATAATTGTATGGAGAAGGCACACAAAGTGGTGGAAATGTTCCTATTCTATCAGGAGGAGTGAGATGCTGGAGAACCAAAAACAGAGCTGGGGACCATGATGGGGAGATCTATCTACTGGAATCGCAAAGAAACCAGAGGATTATTTAACCCTCTAGACATCAGTTAGAACTGAAATGTTAATCCTAGGCAGACCTGACTTTTCAATGATTTGTATGTGTATTTCAATAATATAGTTGTCACCAGAACAAGTGTTTTTCATTGGAAGATTTACCCCCCCCCACCCCTGGTCTGGTGACAACTGCAACATGTCAGAGTTTCCATCTAGTGGTCAGTAGGCTGAATCTACCTAGTAAGACGTACCCTGTCTCCACTTTTTCAGAAGTGAACAACTTCTGAAAGTGTACATTTAGGAAGTGTATTTTAGCTGAAGGTTTGTTGTGTTCCAGGTTATGAAGACTCGTTTAGCTGTGGGGAAGACTGGACAATATAATGGAATGTTTGACTGTGCTAAGAAGATTCTAAAAAGGGAAGGTGTCCTGGCTTTTTATAAAGGATATATACCCAATATCCTGGGTATTATTCCCTATGCAGGCATTGATCTTGCCATCTATGAGGTAATCTTTATTCTTTTACGTATTGCTTTAAAATTAATGTATTCATCTTTTCAGATCTGATTTATCATTAATACAAAATGCACTTACCCTTTTTGCCTTTTTAAAATGATATTAAAGTCAAAAGGTTTTTAAGCTATTTTAAATGGTTAATAAATCACTTGCAATGTATACTGCTCCTGGATGGATGTTTAAAGGTTTTATCTTCCTGCAGAATCTCCCGGTCCCCTGAACACTTGCTTTAATATTCTGTTTTAGGGTGACTCCTTTCCCTCACAGGGTCTTATGGAGCCACCCTTGTGTGTGCTACTGAGCTGTGTGTGTCAACAAATACACAGACGCAGCAAGGCAAAAGACTCCCTTGTTTCCTGCTCCCCACTCCTCCTAGGTAGTAGATGGAGGCCTTGTTCACACCGAAAGCGTGTGCGTTCCAGAGCGGTAGCTGCTGGAACACACCACGATCGCTAAGAAACTTCTCCCCGCGTTCTGGGGCGTGGCGGTGCATTGAATTCAATGGCACCTCTTCCACGCCCCCCCACCTGCACTGCGAACGCACATGCTTTCGGTGTGAACAAGCTTGGAGAGCTGCTGGAAACGTTACATAGTTGTTAAGGTTGAATAAAGACACGGGTCCATCGAGTTCAACCTTTTGGGTTTGTGTGTGTTACTAAGATTACCTGTACCCCTGTATATCTTGTGCGCTGAGAAAAGTATCTAGATAGTTCTTGAATGATTCCATACTCTCAGCTGATACCACGGTCTGTGGTCTGTGGAAGGGAGTTCCACAATTTTACATGTCTCACAGTGAAGAATCCTCTTCGCTTGTTTAAGATTAAACCTTTTCTCTTCCAGTTTCAGCTAGCGGCCTCTTGTATTCTTGACTGAACTAACAGTACACAATTTATTACTGATTATCCCATCACCAATAAACTATTTGTACATTAATATCATGTCCCCTCTGTCTCCTCTTTTCAAGAGTGAACAAATTTAACGCTTGCAGCCTTTCCTCATAGTGTTAGGTTCTCTAACCCCTTTATTAGCTTTGTTGCCCTTCTCTGGACTCTCTCCAGCTCAAGGCACATCTCTTCTGTGAATCGGTGACCAAAACTGAACCGCATACTCAAGATGTGGCCGGACCAGTGTTTTGTACAGGGGCAGAAATATTGATTTTGTCTTTACTATACATTACCTCTTTTATACATGATAGTGCCCTGCTCGCCTTATTTGCTGCTGCCTGACTTTGCATGCTGTTACTAAGGCAACAGTCAACTAGGACTCCCAAACCTTTTCTCTTCCGTTCATTGAAGGACACAGGGAACAGATCGGAGATCATGTAGTGTAGGGTAATATCGCCACCTGCAGGAGAAGGACGCTAGGCACAAAACTAAAGACCAATTACAGCCTAGGGGCGGCCCCTGCTGGTGGCCAAAACCCCCACCTGCTGACAAGTCTCCAGTTTTTTGCCTAGCGTCAGGAGTAAGGAGCTAAGAATTTTTCTCGGGCATTCTTACCTGACTTCTTCCTGTTTTTGTCGATGATTCTTCTAGCAAGTGCCGCCCGGGCGACATGCTGGCTGTGACAACTCTGTCTCGACGGAGTGGCCTGTGGGCTTGTCCCAATGGAATTGCATATGACCGGGGGTCTCGGCCGACCGGTCACAGCACTCCGTACAGGCAGGCGACGCCACGACTGTGGTCGGGGGCGTTCTGCCCGCTGTCCTTACCTCTTGGCTCCGCGTGGATTCGGCCCGACGTCTCCGGTGCTGGCAGTGGCTGCGGTGCGAAGACGGTGCGCGTTCCCCAACATGGTGGTATGTATGTGGGGCAGGCACTGTGCGGGAGGACTCCAGGGGCTGCCTGCCCTTCTGTTTGGTTGTGGTGCCCTTTGCGGTCACTGAGGGGTTCATTGGGGGGTCTCCTGGCGGGGTCTGTGGGCCTCCTTCGTTCCCCTCCCCCTTCCTCCCTCTCCCCCTTCCTCCTCTTCCCCCTTGTTTTCCCTCACTGAGGGACACTTGCGGCCTTGCTGCTTGGGGCGGCCTTGCTGCTTGGGGCGGCCTGGGAGGTTGCTGGGGGATCGCTGCCCTCAATGTGTGCCTCGGCTCTGGTCTCCAGGACCCTGACAGAATGGGCTAAGATGCTGCGTCAGGGCTTCATGGAGGAGAATTTTTCTTCGTTGGTCTGGCAGACCGAATGGTGCAGGGCCTGGAATGCATGTCAGTGTCTGCGGTTACACTACGCCGACTTCTCTAACTTAACTGCTAGTCGGCGGATCAGGCCCCCAAAAGGGCCCTGACGGGATTGCCTTTTACCGGGGATCTGACGGGCGGTTAGAGTACCTTTTTTTGCCTCGGGCTAAAAAGCCTAGGGACCACCGGCGGAAGCCCAGTCCTTCCTTCCTTCTCTGCTCACGAGCGGTTTATTTGTTCCCCTCCTCCCTTGGAGTGAGGCGGACGGTCCAACAAGTCGCCGTCTACCCAGGCCGCACAATGTGCCTGGCAACACACAAC